TTCCATTAGGGAGAGGAAGGATGCTCTATGTGCGTGAATATGGGAAGACACCAAATATGCTGAATGCCTCGGGGCAGAACAGTGTGCAGTGTGTGTAGCGTTTAGAGACAGGTGCATATGGTGTTTAAGAGCAAGGGCTTGGAGCCAGACAGCTTGCGTTCAAATCACTGCATGCTCTGGGACTTTGGGCAAGTCATTTAACCTATCTGTGCCTCAGTTCCACATCGGTAAATGGGAGATACACTAGTCCCTAGTCCCAGGGTTATTGAGGAGATTAAATAAATTAAGAGATACAAAGCTCGAGACAGCACACATTCACTAGATGGGACTGGATGGATAGGATGAACGAATGGGAGTGGAAGGATGAATAGATCTGAATAGGTCAGAGCTGTAGTTCTGGTCTCCTCTGCAGTGCAGGTGTGGCACTAGGCATTGACTTTCTCATCTGTCCTGTGGGGACAGGGTTCTGCATGTGACAATCTGGTAGTTCATGGGAGGGAAAGTGCTCAGCAATATGGAAGAGCATGGAGTCATTATGGTGGCTTTGCCCTGGCCTTTATCTATGGCACTGGTCTGGCTGGGGTCCATCTGGGTGGGGTCACGTGTAGAGCTCTGGGCTCCTAGGCTCCCGGGAAGTCCTGTAGTCACCCCTGCTATACTCTGGCAGGCCTCTGACTGCGGGTACAGGTGGGGAAGGTGGTCTTTGAGGGGCACGATGCAGCCTGGCTCACAAGAGTGGTGCTGGTGTTGATGGGAACGGAGGATCGAGGGACTGGTGGGGAGCAGCTGCTCATAAGGAGGGTTCTGGGACCTCAGAGCCCAGAACCACTCAAATGCCAGCCACTCAAGACTCAGACTCTACAATCTTCCTAGACAACCCCAGACATTAGTCCACTCCAGAGGCCCTGGGGTGGTAGAGGGGACCATCTCTATCCTGCCATCAGGCCTAGGGACCCTGGCAGAGCCACTTCCTCCCTCTGAGATGAGTTACTCTGTGTGAAAAGAACCTCCCCACCTCCCAGGAATGCTGGGGGAATAAGACAATGGAAATGAAGTTACTCTGGAAGATGATTAAATCCCTTAAAAATAGTGCTCATTTGAATTTCTTCCTGTATTTTAAGCAACCATACTGAGCACGTTCTATGAGTCAAATATTTTATATATGCATATCTCATTTAACCCACTGTATTAGTCATATTAAACCAAGTGCTCTAACAAAGCCCCAGATTTCAGGCACTTATAGCAGTAAATGTCTATTACTCCCTCACATCTGAATCCAGTACAACTCACCGGCTTGGCATGTGCTGTTGTTTGGGAACCATGTTCCCTTCTCAGGCTTCCCTGTCCTCCACTGGATCCTCCGTGGGAGGCCTTGGGGCCAGGAGAAGTGGTGATCATCATTCCCACCCTCAGTCTACCAGCCAGCACCCAGTGTCGGGAGCCACCTGACTTTGGGGAGGCAGAGAGGTACAGGTATAATAACTGTGTGCTCCCAGGGAAAAGCAAACCAGGTAAGGGGACACCAAGCACTGCCTCAACCCAACACTCCGAAACAACTCATTCTATTGATGGAGAAACCAAGGCACAGAGGCAGCATAGTTTTTGCAAGGCCACACGTCCACTAAGTAGCACAGCTGGGATTTGTCTCCCTGCTTGTTTATTTTTTTCATTGCATCTTTTTCTTTTGAGTCTTACTCTCTGAAGGTACTGTAGTGTTTTTAGAACTCCCTTTATTTCCTATGTTGTCTCATTTCCTTGGGAATTCTACTCTATGTACATGTGTGGAGGCTCTCTGAACAAGGATCTTTTTTATTTAGGGCCTCTAAATATCAATGTCTGTACAGGCAGAAAAACTACATTTATGGGTCCCAATGCAAAATTAAAGTGCAAGATCCTTCTTCAAAAAGCAGGTGAAAAAAGCAGAAAAAAGAGCCAGTTGAGGTGGCACACACCTGTAATCCTAGCACTTGGGGAGGCTGAGACAGCACTTGGTGAGTTTGAACTTAGTGACTTAAAGGCTTTACATCAAAATAATTAATGAATTTAAAAAATTTTAGGGCTCAGTGGCACTGTGCCTGGCTCACAAGCACAAGGTCCTGAGTTGGATCCCTGATACCAAATTAATTAATTAATTTATTTATTTATTAAAAATTTTTTAAAGGCAGGGGATGTTGCTAAGTGTGAAGGTCCTGGGTTCAATAAAAACCACAAACCATAAAAAAATACTCTTCCCTCTTTTCCTTCCTTCACCTTCCTCTTCTTTTTCCCTTTCCCTCTCTCTGCTTTTTCCTCCCTGAATTTTCTCTCTCTCTCTCTCTCACTCTCTCTCTCTCTCTTCCCTTTCCTCCCTCCCTGGAAAGGTTATTTTACTGCTATTTAGTGTCACACTCCCTTGGCGATGTGGACCCTCCTGGGACAAGTGCAGGCCCTCACAGGCACCCAGAGGCTGGTGGCTCGGTGCAGAACTCTGTCCATTCTACCCCATCCTTCCTGCACCCAGCACTCTCCCTAGAGTGGAGGATGATAGTGGTCACTGGGTGGCCCCCAAAGTAGCAGGAGACAGTAGGAGACAGGACCACATGTGACCTGAGGCTGCAGGCCCCAGTATATGCTCCACTGTCCTTTGCTCTCCACGTACACAACATAAATTCAAAGAGGAAGAGATACCAGAACCAAGACAGCAATCACAGTGCAGCAGACTCCTAGGACAGGGTCTCCTTCTCAGTTCTGCTGGTAGCACATCTTTGCAGTCCTCTTTATGGGTTGTTTTTCTGGGAGCATTTGTATTTTCCCAGAGAAAGGGTCTCCATCCTCCTGTCTGGCATCCTGGGGCTGAATGCTGAAAGGCTCCACCACTGGGCTGCTCTGACCCTACCTCTCTGCAGAATAAACTTCCATTTCCCGAGCAGGGGCTTAGGGTCTCCTTGCTTTCAGCCCTGCTGCACAGGGCTTTCCTCGTGCAGAGCCCACTCACTTTCTGTTGAGCCCCATCTGGGACACACGGGGCTCACTGCTGCCCCTAATGGTGTTGATGGCCATTCATTCATCAGCTTTCCACACTCAAAGGTGTGTGCATCTCCCGCCTGCTTGCATGAGGTCTTCAGCTGGCCTATTCCTTGGTCCTGTTCTTCTGGAGGGTTTGGAGGGGAGGAGAAAACCCTTGTGCATTGCACCACCATGTTTAACCAGAAATCAGTTGAGTCTTGGGTAGACTTCTATTTTAGAATGAGAGACTACGTTGGGGATTTAGCTCAGTGGTGCCCCACTTGCCTCACAAGCGCAAGGTCCTGAGTTTGATCTCCAGTACTGAGAAGAAAAGTAAAAGTACACCTAGAATGTGAGACTCCTTCACCAAACACTTATTAGGCACCTACTGTGTGCTAGGCACTGTGGAAGGTGCCAGGAGTTGGTGCTGAAAAGCAAGTTCCTGCCTCCCAGAGGTTGGACTGCAAACCCAAAGGTGAGAGGACCCAGAAATGGCAAATTGTGATTGGGGTGAAAGGGGGAGGTCATGAATCTGCCCATGGCTGGAAGTCTTATCTTATACCCAGCCTGGACTTGGGGGATGTTCTTCAGAGGAAAAAGAACCAGACTTGCATCATTTTCTCTTTTCTGTTACATGTTTTTGCTTACCTTTCAACTCACAGTGATTCTGCACTTGTTTTATTATTCTCTCTTCAATCCTGTTTCCTTATTATTATATTTTAAAAACCTACTGCTTCTAATCTTCTTGGCCTGAAATAGCAGACAATCAAGTGTATTTGCAGTATATCTAAAATAAGCATTAATTAGGCTGTAAATTAAGGTTTGAGAGACTCAGCTGTGGTAAAATGTATCAACTTTAACATTAATTGTATAACTTCTATTTTTACTACCCAGTGGCCTTCTTAATTTCAGCAGCTTATTTTATATTCTGGATGACCACTGTTGCCATCTAAATGAAATATAACATTGTAAAACTTTAAACATGGGCTGCAGGTGGCCTTTCCTTCCAGCCCCACTCCCTTCTTGATCCTTTAAAAATGCACTGGCCTTTGGTTTGCCCAGTGTCAATTTTTATTTACCATCTGTTCTTGATTAAAAAAGACTTGTTTTATCACATTTTAAAATCTCTAAAAATGGGATGTCTTATAATTGATTGGGATTTTGGGATTAGATCACAGCTTTCTTTCTTCTATGGCACATGATAGTGTGTTTTAGGATCAATGATGTCTTAGACTTAATGGAATACAGTATTTATATCATTTGAAAGATCTGACACATTGTTCTGTTTCCCCAACTTGCCCTCACCGCTGGCTGTGCTAAAAATAGACAATATTATCACACATGTGAAAGCAAGTTTTTTTTCTCCCTAGAACCTTCTTAGAACAACAATAGGAATACTATTATCAGCAACAATAAGCACTTACAAAGTACCTACTATGTGGTGATGCTCCTTCAAGCACTTTTCAGATACCTCTCCAAAAATCCTAGGTCAGTAACAGCATTTATCCCCATTTTACAGATGAGGAAACTGAGGCTCAGAGGCAGCAGTAGCAAGACCAGCCATCTAGGCAGTCCATCTCTGAAAAAAGTTATACTGTGCTCCATTAGTGATTCTGGGACCTGAAGTATCTTCATTTAGATCAGGGGATCTTACCTGCCTGCACCTTCAAATTAACTACAGAGCTTTAGGGAAACGTGGGAAGAATTCTCCAAGTCATTTTAACAGGCTGCCACAGTACTGAGTCCCTGGGTACATGATCTGTATGTGACCCCCCCTAGCCATGCCACTTGGGATCCGCAGCCTTCTCACCCTCTGATGCTACATTCTCCTGGTGGCTGCTGAGCCTGGGCTGACAAGGACAGCAGGAGCCTCTTAAGCTTCTGGAGCTGGATTCCTCAATTAGAAAATAAGCCTTCCAGACTTTATTTTTTTTAATTAACTTATTTATTTTTCCTTCTAGACTTTAAACTGATGTCTTTGCTTTTAATTTTTATACCTCCCCCCTCTCTTCCAGCTCTGGAGTGCACAGAAAATCAAGCAGGTAACCCAGTTGGGGATTATTTTCTCTCCTCCATGCTTTCCTGGACCCCTCTCCACCCTGTCCCAGGGATCCAGCCCCTGCTCTGTACCTTGAGGAACTTTCCCCCTCTGGTTTGCCCCTGGCTGCCTTCCCCCACCTGCCACCCCAGCACCCAAGGGCCTGTGCTTCTGCAGCCTGGGGCTTGGGCCAAGCTGGCCTTTCTGTGGGTGCTCTGAGTTCCTGGAAAACCAGGCTTTGTTCACAAAATCTTGACTATGTGCCAAACAGGGGGACAGAAGGCCCTTGAGGTAGATGTAGTTTGGCCCCCTATGGGCTTTCAGTCTCCCCTGCACTGGGCTTTGAGGATTAGTCAGAGAAGGGTGCTATTCACAGTCCATGTGTTGGTTTTCTCTTACCCTGAGTGGTGGAAAGGACTGACAGATCAGAAGGCCACATGCAGCCACTGGTAACTGAGTCTTCCAGGGAAGATGTCCTTTTCCTCTTTCCTCCCCTAACCCCTCTGCTTGGCCCCTCCTTCCTCCTCATCCACCCCGCCCCCCTCGCTGTTCCTCTCACAGGCTATTCTACACCCGGACACCAATGAGAAGATCTTCATGCCTTTTAGAATGTCAGGTAAGCTCCTGAGCCATTCTGGTTCTGTTCAGCCTGGGGAGCTGGTAATGGCCAGAGCTGCAGGGCCATTTACCTGTGCCAGTCTGAGGAGGGGATAGAGCCCATCACACATGTGGATATACTGGCACCTTGGCTCAACTGTACAAGACCAGCCAGACTGAGGATCCCCTGTGGCACTCACCTGCTCTTTTCTGCCGGAGCAGTTGGGGTGGAGCTATGTTTTCTACAGGCAAATCTAGTGTACCCTCCTTTTAGCCCTTCTCAGTGATCAGTAGAGGGGCATGCATAAACCCTGTATGTCTGGGTTTTAGGGCCTGGAGAGCACCTGCACAAATGCTGGCTGGGTCAGGCACAATTGTCCTGCCCATGGTTCTGAGAGCTTTTAGGGCTTGCCCATAGTCACTCTACAGAGGGTCACACTCACCAGTGTGCTGACACCCCCTCCTTGCCATTTCTCCACGCAGTGAGCAGTACCAATCTTGAATCACATGGATGGTATGGAGGGTTGCCTGCTGCTGCCTTGAGAAGGCTCTCAGCTGAAGAAAGAGGCCTCAGTCAAATGAGTCAGTTAGAGCTCCACCCCCAAAGAGCCTGACCTTGCTGGGGAGAGAATAGACAGCCAGGGAATGGAAGATCATGTGGACCACCTAGTGCTTGATGGTCCCTGAAGACTTCAGAGAAACAAAGGCTCTGAGCATGTTGGAGACAGCTGTAGATATTCCCTGGGCCCTGTGGGCTCACACCTGGAGCCTGGCTTCTCTTGTAATTCTGGACCTTTTAAAGTTATGCATTCCTCTGAGGCCCAACCAAAGTTAGGATCTCCTAGCAGAAGGGAGCAGGTAGGTGAGTGAGGGCTCAGGATGTGATCCTTGACTTAGATGAAACTCAGGAGAGCATACTCCCTGCTGCCCACCAACTAGCTGACTGGCTGCCCAGGTCAGAGGCTGGGGATGAGGAACTGATTGCTGACAGCAATGGTGCTCGAAGAAGCCTTGCTGGGAGGCCACATGCAGTGAGAAGCAGGCACTGGGGGGCTGGCCTTGTGCCCCCTGACGCTGTCCACCTCAGGCACTAGGGAGTTAAGAAGCTCTGGCACCTAGAGGTGTCCATCACAGGAGGACAGGAAATTCTCTTTCCCAAAATGGCCTCAATGTTAGAAGTGAAGAAAGACAAGCTGAGGTATCCAGGTTCTCAGAAGACAACCAGTCTGGTGTAGGCAGAGGGCCGGGGGTGAAGGGGAGCAGAAGGTGCAGTGCCTCCTTCAGAAAATTGTTGATACCCACTGAGGGTCCCAGACAGCAGCCTTGCCTGCCGGAAGTAGGGAAGTGAGAAGGCTTGGCTACAGAGCAACTGAGAGCAGAGAAAAGGCGGCTGGGGACGCAGGGGACCTCTGCTGTGGGGAGGCTGAGCTGGGAAAAGGTCTGAGGGGCAGGAGATGCCTCCTGCCTAACTGTCTGAGTCTCTTTGCCAGTGCCAGTGATCAGACCAAGCCTGGCAGGCTCCTGGTATCTCGGGTGAGACCTGACTCTTCTCTTTGCTTTCCCTACTCACAGGTTACATTCCTTTTGGGACGCCAATTGTAAGTGTTGCCTTCAAAAGGATTTCTTATCTTACACAAAATTTTGAATGATAACTTTATACCATTGTTCATAGAGATTTGACTGAGTTTTTTATTTAGCACAAGTAATCAGAGGGGAGCTATTGGATAAAGTTGTATGCATTTTTCTATCACTTGCTATGCACTGAAGGGATGGATCACCAAGCTTCCTTGATAAAGGTGTACTGACTTCCTCCCTCCATGAGGTGGAAAGAGCCTTCCTCCCTGCATGTTCTCCACCCCCAGAATTGTCAGGGAAAACAGAGGGAGTAAGAATATATGGGAGCCTGCTGAAAATTAGAATTCAAAATTAATTCATAGAGGGCTTTTGGTATTCCTTTTGTTCGGTTTTGGAATCAAGGTTAGCCTGTGTTCATTATTTTCTTTCCTGTGTCAAGTATTTCACATTATGAATATGGATAAATCTCAAAAACGGTGTTGAATGAAAAAATAGTAGCAGAGTAGTAATACTCTCTGATGTCATTTAGATCATGTTTAAAAATATGCAAAGCAATGTTACATATAGTTTAGGAGTATATTTTCTATGTATCTGTGAAAACATTCAGTGGAGCAATAATTCATGGTGCTGTTCACCTCTAGGGGAGAGAAGGTTATAGAATCTAGCAGGGAAATGGAGGTATTTGTTTTGATTTGTGCTGTTTTATCTTTTAGAAAAGATAATTTTTCACAAAAATTTGAAAAATGATAAGACTTGACAACACTTGGATGCCCATAATATCCTCTAGACTTTTCTGCATGGTTGAAATCTTTCATTTTATATATATTTTTTTAATTTTAAAAATTGTTTCCTAAGATTACACTTTTTAATTTAAAACATTTAAAAATTGTATATACTTGGTGCAGTGTGATAATTTGGCATCTGTATACAATTCATAATCATCAAATTAGGGTAATTAGCATTTCCTCTTCAAATACTTAGCATTTCTTTATGTTGAGAACCTTCAAACTCCTTTCTTTTAGTTCCCAATCAAATCTATAATGAATTGCTTTGAACTGTAGTTACCCTACTGTGTTGTAGAACAGTAGAACTTTTCCCTTTTACCTAACTGTATACATATATTTTAATTATATATAAATATATATAGGGCCAGGGATTTGGCTCAGTGGTGCTGCACCTGCCTTGCAAGCTCAAGGTCCTGAGTTCGATCCCTGGTACTGCCTCCCCCCCAAAAATATATATATATATGTAGAGAGAGAGAGTTTATCATTCACATCTCTATCCATATATCCATATGTGGTTTCCCTGAGGGTATTATACTCTTCTAAAATATTTTGAGAAAGGATTATAAATTCCCTGCCATAATTGTATGTGTACTTAATTTCTTTGCATTTCTTATACTATATATATTTCAATGCAGTGGTGTTTGGTGTGTTCATGATGGTTTCATTTTCTTGATGTTATCTTTCTCACACTCATGAAATATCTGTCTTGTTGAATATTCTTGCCTTGAATTCTATTCATCTCATATTAATATTTCTATTCTTGTTTTGTTTAATCTATTTACCTTGTACATCATTGCCTATATGTTTATGCCAGAGTCATTTAATTTCTGTATTATTTTGTATTATGGCTCTCTTTTGGACAAAGATTGTCCGACTTTACCTTTTTTACTCAATTTGAAAAACATTATCTTTAATTTTACTGTGATGGAATCCATTTGTATTTATTCTCCCGCTGGTTGTTGTAACCATTTATTCTAGCCATCAAATGGATTTTTTGCTCGTTTGTTTATAAAGTTTTGTTATTATTCCCATTTCTATTACTGATTTGTACTAGAGCGATTGTTTTCATGTCCTTTTAATTTCTTTTTTTTTTGGTACCAGGGATTGAACTTGGGTCCTTGCACTTGCGAGGCAATTGGTGGAACCACTGAGCTAAATCCCTGACCCCTCCTTTTAATTTCTTTTTTTTTTTTTCTTTTAATTTCTTAAGCAGTTTGGAAAGGGAGCATCCTAATTCACTATAATTACCATTCAGCTGTATTATTTCACAGCACAGAGAGGTTGCATTTTATTACATATATGTTATAAATATCAAAAATCAAATAATAAATATGATTTCCCCAGCCTGGCTCACATAGGCAGAGACTTTTAGCATACCATTTTATTCTAGTCTTTATTTGTCATTTTAGCTCTATATGCCCACCAAGTTTTTGGAAATAACCTAGAATCTCATCCAATTTATGAAGCCTTTATTAACAGCTATATTAAAATTTACAGTTATTTAGGCTTTGTGTGCGTTGTGTTTGGCTGGAATACTTTTTTTTTTTTTTTTCAGTACCAGGGATCAAACTCAGGACCTTGAGCTTTTGAGGCAGGTGCAGTGCCACTGAGCTAAATCCCTGACCCTGGAATACATTTTTAATAACATTCAGTATACATTCAGGTCCACTTTCTGGACCCTTGGCTATCTGGAAATGTCTGTTTTTCCCTTTCATACATGAACAATAGTTGGCCTGCTTTTCTTGTCTTTTAAGAGTAAACTTTCCCCTGGAATCATTTGATATTTTTTTCTCTTGTCTTTAGAGTTCAAAAATATCTCTAGGATTTAAAAAAATCTTCTCTGTATGTTTTATAAAATTATTCAAGTAATGCATGAATATGTTCTTTGGGATTCAAAAATACCTTCAAGAAATTTTTGTGTAGAATATTTTAAAAGTTCTACAAGTAATACAGGAATGTCCTCTTTGCTCAGAATTTAAACAATACAAACAAAAGTAAAAGTCTTTCTGATGGCTCTTAGTCCCAAATCTGTGCCCAGACATAATTTGTTAGAAGCTTGGTGTGAGTTTCTAGGCTTTACCTAGGCATACGTGTGTACATGTGAGTCTTTATTTAAAAGTGTTTTCTTGGAGCCAGTCACTATGACTTGTGCCTCTAGTCCCAACTATTTGGGAGGCTGAGGTAGGAAGATCACTTGAGCCCTGGAATTCAAGACCAGCCTGGACAATATAGGGGGATCCAGCCTCTCAAATGGGTCTGGGGCTGTAGATTGGTGCTATAGCATGTTTAGTGTACATGGCCCTGGGTTCTATCTCTAGCACCAAAAACAAAAACTACAATAACAACAACAACAAAAACCAAGAAAAAAATGTTTTTGTTTTGTGGAGCTTTTCATTAAAAATATAGCAATTTTTGTTTATCCACCATTAGCTTATTACACTTAGCAGTTGCATTCGTTTGTTTTTCTGCTGAGTAGTGTGCTGTTCCCTCATTTTACATTGTTTCTGAGTATTTGCTATTAAAAGCAGTGATACTGCAACAAAACCTCCTAGAGCATGAGGATTTCTCCAGGGCACCTTGCAGCTGGCGAGCCTGCTGCCAGAAGGGCTGTGCACGGTCACTTTTCAAATAGATATTGCTGAATTTCCCTTCTAAAAGGCTGAGTTTTCTCATACCTGTGCATTGCTGGTATTGATATTTTCGAAGTTTTTACCAATCTGACTGGGAAGGGCTGGCTTTTTATTATGGTTTTAACTTTTGTGTCCCTGAACACCAAAAAGATTATGATTTTTTTTCTCAGGTATTTATTAGCCATTTCTTCTGTGCACTCCTTGCTTGAATCCATTTGTCCATTCTTCCATGGGCTCTATTTTTCTAATTTATTTGCAGAATATATATATGGATGTATATGGTATTAATCTTTTAATCTTTTAAATTATATATCTCTTGGGCCGGGGATTTAGCTCAGTGGTTTTGCTGCCCGCTGTGCAAGTGCAAGGACCCGAGTTTGATCCCCGGTACCAAAAAAAAATTATATATCTCTTCTCCAGCTGTTTTTTCTTTACTCTCTGGTGTCTTTGTTATAGAAAAATGTGACATGTTGATATTTTTAAGTATAGTGATTGTTCTGCTGATTGATTTTGAGTTTGTTCCCCTCATTGACTGCTTCTCCTTTGTTAAAATAACTGAATTTGTGAGAATTGTGTCTACAAATCAACTCTTGGGTGTATTTATCAATTCCTCTACTTTATCTTCATTTCTGCTTTTGTTTTATAATATCCCCCTTTCTCTTCTTTGGCTTGTTTGTTGTTGGTTTTCTTTTTGCCTTGAATCCTTAATTTATTCTCATTCTTTCCTTCTAATGAAAGTGTTTAGGGCTGTGATTTTTGGCTGTATCTAATGTTTCCATATATATAGTGATTCTGTTTTGTTATTTTTCTAAGTAAATTTGAAATTCTAGTTTTCAGTCCTCTTTAGTCAATTAGTCTGAAGAACACATTTTACATTCTAAGTGGTTGAGTTTTTAAAAAAATGTATTCTTTTGTTATTATTTTATAGGTTATTTTCAGTAATCTCTGTAATGCTGCCATTTGGGATTCATTGAGGCTTTCTTTGTAGCACAGTATGTAATTATATCAGTTAGGAGTAAGATCACATGCACATAACAAAATGTCCAAAGTAACAATAGCTTAAACAAAAGAGTTTATTTTTCTCGTAAATCGAAGAGGGTTAATGGTAGCCAGAATCCCACCGTGTCATGAAGACCCCTGTCTTCCATTTTTCTACCTCCTCCCATTCTCAGTGCAGGTTTCTAGTGTAAAAGTAACCCTATAGAACAGTATAGCTGCTGGAGTTCCAGTCATCTCATTCATATTCCAGGGAGGATAAAAACAAGAGGAGCAAAAGGGTGAATCTCCCAACCAAGTCAGCTTTCTTAATTATTATTATTTTTTTTTTGGTACTGGGGATCGAACTCGCGTCCTTGTGCTTGCGCAGCAGGCGGTGAAACCACTGAGCTAAATCCCCGGCCCATAAGTCAGCTTTCTTTAAGACAGTTTCTTGGGGGCTGGGGATTTAGCTCAGTGGTTCTGGTGCCTGCCTGGCAAGTTCAAGGTCCCGAGTTCTATCCCTGGTACCAAAAAAACAAAAAACAAAACAAAACAACAACAACAAAAAGACGGTTTCTTGGAAGTTCCACACAATAGTTCTGCTTACATTGCATGTTGAATTTAGCTGGT